TTTTTTTAATAAAAGTTTACTCATGATGAATAAATTGTAACTGGTCTGTCAGCAATACCTCTTTTTCTACAAACCTTGAGATGTAACAGAGACCAGAGTCAGAGGCCTTCGTACAAAAAAAGGCTATTGCACCAGATTGGAATGCTTTCTTAGGGGAGACTTTAAAAAGCAAAGCATATTGACATTCGGGCATCAGTTCTCAGTACTGCTTTTAGGGATACCATATAGCCACAGTCTGCTATCATTATAATTATCTCAGTGGTAATACTCACTGTATTACCACTGAGATAATTATTTGTTGCTCTCTCATATTTACTAACAGTGATTGAAATGGGAGGAATTGCAAATTAAATTTACTAAAAAATCTAAATTAGTAATGTTCTGAGTGTGAGCTTTTTCCCTAGTGCATCCACCAAGCATTGCCTACATAAACTGGTCACAAAGCATACATTTAAAGAATCCGGTGTGTAAAAAATGCTGATCATTTATGGCAACCCCATGCATGTGTAGAAAAATTTAAAAAAATCAGGACCTGTTTGTGTACTGGTTGACTGCTGAACTCTATGTGCTGTCACTTGGGGGAAGGTCACATGGTCCCTTATACCCAGAATCCCTCGCTCTTTTAGAGGACTTATTCCTTGCTGGGGTAAAGGGCGACTATCAGAAGGCACTTTGAGCTGAATGGGTAGATGACAGTATTTGGTAAATTAAAATGTGAAAGTTTCATCAAAAAAAGTTTTATCAGATGAACACTATCATGTGCTGTCGAATGACCTGAAAACGAATGGAAAGTGAAAATAAACATAATAAAAACTTACGTGGGGAACTTAACAAGGAACTGTTTTGCTCCATATCTTGCAGAAGTCCTCAGCATCCATGACCAGCAAATCTGTGGCTATTTGGAAGAAAAGTTACAGATTTTTGCAGAACTGGCGACCCTGTGTGGTGGGAGTGATGTGAAACTGGAAACGCAACTACTTGTTAAGGCTGAGTCTGGAGAGATTCCCCAAGCCACACCACTGCTGGAGGCTGCACTAAAAGAAAGTAAGTATTACAGGCAACTCAGAGTAAGGCCTTAATTTAACAAAAAGCGCTTTACTTCTTGCATGTATCATCGAGTGCTGGTGACTTCTATTATGGACCTTCCTGGATTGGGGGACACATAAGTCGGTGTAATATAAATGCATACAGTATAATTGTATTTACCTCACCTGGTCTAGAGATCCTTTTATTCTACCACACATGAATTTCAAGAAGACTCCATACTAACTTTCTGACTTTTTTTGTTTTTTAAAAGCTGAAAGACTGTACATGACCTTAGCATCACAAATGGACAACTCAGCCTGGTCATCTGAGGATCCGGAGACATCGCACAGATCACGGGCATGTTCGGGCACAGGACCATTTGAGGAGGCTCAAGAAATTCACTACAACTGTGAGTAGTTATGTCTAGGTGTGTACTGTCTGATTGTGGATGGCAGTGTGGCTTTCAATTTTCCTGACATCACTATTTCCTCAATGAAAGGGTCCTCATTAGGGATGTCCTGATACCGATTCTAGCTTCGGTATCGGGGCCGATGCAGTGCATTTTCACAAGTACTTGTGAAAATACCCAGATACATAGCACCGATACCGGCACTTTAATTTTTAAAATAGTTTCAGGCTGCCCCGAGGTACTGCGCTTGTACGGGCAGCTAAACTAGGACCTCACAGAAGCTCCTCCCACAGCACATCCAGGAGAGCGACGGAGGTGCCGGAAAGCATGGCATATAAGCTGGGAGCCTGATACCGGGCCACGGGCGCTCTGCTTTGCAGCTAGATCCTCTTATCTGGTGAGTGTGTCCATCTGTGTGTCTGTGAAAGCTCTCCCCTCCCCCATCCCAGAGATGGGACTTCCTCACTTACACGTTGCACAGGAGCCACTACACGCGAGGTCCGTACAGCAAGGCTGCCTGTTATTAACCCCTCCATCACCATTGGCTTCCTTACGCTCTCCACCACAGAATGCATGTCATTACCCTCTGCATGTCATTATGGATTATCCCCTCCATAACCGCAGGCTGCCTGCGATTATCCCCTCCATAACCGCAGGCTGCCTGCGATGAACCCCCTCCATAACCGCAGGCTGCCTGCGATTATCCCCTCCATAACCGCTGGCTGCCTTCGATTAACCCCCTCCATAACCGCAGGCTGCCTGCGATTAACCCCCTCCATAACCGCAGGCTGCCTGCGATTATCCCCTCCATAACCGCAGGCTGCCTGCGATTATCCCCTCCATACCCGCAGGCTGCCTGCGATTAACCCCCTCCATAACCACAGGTTACCTTCGATTAACCCCCTCATATTTAGAGGCTGCCTAATCATTAGTCTGTATTGTTTTAGAAAAAATGTTGCATGTCCCTTTAAGAAAAGTATCGGTAATTGGTATCGGCAAATACACGAGGGACAGTACATGTACTTGTACTTGGTCTTGAAAAAGTGGTATCGGGACATCCCTAGTCCTCATGCATCCCGAAATGTTGCATTTTCTGTGACCATATTAATGTTCCTGATGTGTACTTGTGTGATATGGACTGGCAGCTCCATATTGAGTGATAAACAAGGAAATATAAAATCACCTATCCTTCTTTTTTTAAGGGATTTTTACTTTTGTTCAATTCCAGGATTTCATATTATTCAAATTAGTTATGCTGGCCACACACACGCAAACTTTGCATTGAACGTTCTTTTTAGATTCAATAAAAAAATGTCTGTCATGCTCGGGAATTTGCTACATGCATTTGTTTCTTTAATATGTGTTTAAGACCATCTCCAGGCTTTTCAGGTTTACAGCAGCAAAACAATTACCGTATTTTTCGCTCCATAAGACGGTGCGAATCCCTATCGCCCGACACCCGGGACATGCAGTTTTGGGCGACAGGCGAGTAGTTTTTTTGTACATTCAGCCCTGCTCCGGACAAGCAGAGCTAAATGTACAGCGTGGGGCCACCGCTCGTTTAATACAATCACTTGTATCAAATCGAGCGGCGGCGAGTGTCCGGGGCTGCTGTCACAGAACCCCTGCGTCCTATGGTCCGGTGCGCCTTATGGAGCACAAAATACGGTATTTACCTCCTAAGCAACCCCCACCATGCAGTCATCTTTCTATGTTTTAAAAATCAGTTTGTTTACATGCCAGGTTTAGGTTTATCTGCTCTGGATGTATTTTACTGCTGTAAACCTGGTATGGTTGTCATGCCCAGAGTTGGGTTTTAATGACGTAAATTATTTCATTGTAATTTTTCCTTTGGATATTGTAGAACATTTCTTTCTACATAGACCTTCACTCAAAAAGTAACCTAGTTATGTGTTAAATCATGCCAGGTCACTAAATAAAGAAGGGCAAACATATGTTTCCAGGAAAAATGCTGTCTGAGGATTCCTTTAGTGCTGGCTTTAAAACCCGAAAAGCCTAGTTGTTTGGTCACATTATCACTGCTGGCGAGAAGGATCACAGTTTAGATTTCCTGATCTTCCCCCATCAGCAGGGACCACATTGTTTTCCTCCCTACTATGACTCTTTTTTTTTCATCCCAGGAAGATTAACATAACTATAAGTTTAGATTTGAGTATGGTTATATTTGCTCACTTTTTATTTTTCAGCCCAGTCTCCTGAGTTTAGAGAGGAAGACTTGAGTAATGCTGATCTCAGTACTTTGCAGGAAGGCAGTGATGTGGACTTGTCTATTCAGGAAGAAAAGGTAACTGTTGTCTCCTTGAGTTTGTCTTGCTCTTTCATGTGACAACTATGTTTCTAGATGGTGTATTAAGTCGTGGATTAGGGACAGCTATATTAGATTGATTTGACAGGTATACCGGGTTATTTTAAAACCTTTGGTGTTAGGAAGCTTTGCGAATTCAGCCTGTAGTTTGGATAACTGCACCTATGAAGTTATTTGGCAGAATTAAACAGGCAAATTAAAGTATACATAAATATCAGAAAAAACTGATACAATTTAAAGAACTATTAAGAAAGTAAAATATACTCTTCCCAATACTTAGAGCTGGTGTGGGACACTGCATGTATCACAATGGCTCGATAAATCAGGAGGTGAACGATCATGTAACCGCTGATCGCTCAGTTCACAGTCTCTTCTCCCTGCAGAGAGCAATCTCTGTCATTGGAGGGACAGACAGGGTAAAGGGTGGGCACAGCTGGTTCTGGCTGTATAGATTAAGAGACAGCTGTCAATCAGGCAGCTGGGTGGATCCTGACAATATTGTCGGGATCATTCCCGTCTGAAGTGCAGCTCTGTGCTGTCAGCATATAGCAGTAGCATATAGAGGTAGCCCACTATCTGCTCACTTTGGGTCACAGGAGTACATTAGTAAATATATTCCTGTGACCCAAAAGAGAAGTAAAGCCAAAAAAAATGGTTTGGCTTTACTTCTCTTTCGAATGTCAGTTTAGAGTCGGCCAGCCTGCAGTGTTCTGAGAGCACACATCTATTGTTCTCCAGAATGTCACAGACTCCACATTACCATATCTCTAGTGTATGTTAGGGCAGGTGGAGACTAATATCAAAACAGATTCAGCTACTTATTATAGATGTTATATTTTTAATGAATGCTTAGCTGTATTATGCAGTTTTTTTAATGTCTGCCTGGAGTTTAATTTTCCAGTAACAATACTTTTCTTATGATATAACATGCAGGCAGAGCACACACTAAGAATTGAGCACCTGTGGGTGACGTACCATCTTTAACCACTAGATGGTGCAATGTGACAACAATTACTATAGTACTGAACCAGTAACTCTGAAGACAAATTATTTCTTGTCAATAACATTTTATTTATTGACAAGAAAATGTATATTATTGCATGCAAAATCTTGCCATTATTTTATGGGTAAAAATATACCTGGATGTATTGGGGGTTTATAACCTGCCGATACTATGGTCCTCGGCCTGTTTGTTTCCCAAAGCAACCATTATTTCTTTATATTTTCCTCCTTACAATTTAAAAAAATTAAACAAAGGATTTGCTTGCTTTGGGCTGCTTAAGGGTGGAGAACTAGCAGTGGCAGTCATCCCAAGCTGTGGGGGGAAAAAGCCTGTTTCTATGGCACTTGAATAAATGTGAATTTTCCATTTTGGAGTCCATCGTGCAATGTAAAAAGAAAGTAAGTAATAAAACAAGAATTGTTTATATTGGACCTTGGAGTGGTTTCATAGGTTTAGTGTTCCTGGAAGTGCCTTGTATATGCGCTATGGTTAAACAGTAGATAGAAATGAATATGGATGGTAGTTAATACAAATTTATTGTCTTTTAGGTTGAACTGAATCACTATTTGAGTTCTAAGAATGAGGAGGTAATAAAAGAATGAATACATTGATGAATGCTTTACATGTAAATACATTGAGGGGAATTTATCAAAACTGGAGCAGACAAAATCTGGAGCAGTTGTCTAGGGCAAACAAATCAGCTTCTCTCTTCTGTTTGTTCAGTTAACATTTGATAATGAAAGGGAGAAGCTGATTGGTTGCCATGGACTGCTGCTCCAGATTCTGTCTGCTTCAGTTTTGATACATTCCCCTAGTTGTGTTGTGCTTGCCAATATTACCATGTGAGACCATAACGCTCATCACCGTTTCAAAGCATCTTCAAAGGCCTCTTTCAGTTTGACCTCTGTCCTCTTCTTTCAGGCCATTGGTAAAGATTTCACGTTTTGCAATGTACAGTCTTAAAACTTGGATGTGCCCATGTGCATTGCTTCCAACACAAATTTAAGGACGTGGGGGCAGAACCATACAATTATTCCTTCAGGCGCTATGACCAACTGTATATCTAGAACCAGTGGTTTATCGCACTTAGACTCATTTTAGAGTCACTTTTTCAATTTGCATACAATTGTTTCAGGCTTTTTAGACCCTCATTAGTGTAAGTTGTGGAACACAACTTTATGAAGAAGGGTTTGGAAAAAATGGAGATGGAATAGCTAGCAATCTTCCGATAAAGTGACACTAAACTCAAGAATGAAATCTTAAAAATGCATTAGTGTACCTTAACTATTATCAAAAATGTATCTCATTTGTGTATCACTCGGCTGTAGATCCTCAAATCATCTCTGAATTGGTGCTGACACTGTCCTTCCTTCTGGAGGGTGGCTACGTCTGTTCCCCATGGTCCCTGTGTGTTTTGTAAATAGTCACTGCTCAAAGCTCACTCCTGTGATGGATTATAATCTCACATTTAGTTTACTAATTTATATTGAGATTGTAGTCCATCGTGGGTGCAAGCTCGGAGCGGTGGCTACTTCACCACACACACAGGGATCATGAGGAACATAAGTAGCCACCCTCCAGAAGGAAGGACAGTGTCAGCACCGATTCAGAGATGATTTGAGGATCTACAGCCGAGTGATACACAAATAAGATACATTTTTGTTAATAGTTAAGGTACATGAATGCATTTTTAAGATTTAACTCCTGGGTTTAGTGCTTCATTTGAAGGGGGTTCTTCACAGTAAGATCAGTTAGGGTCTGGAACTCACTGCCACAGGCGGTGATTTCAGCAAATAATGTGGAATTTTCAAGAAACTTTTGGACGATTTCTTAAGGGACCGTAATATACAGGGGTACAGGTACTCCTAGAATGAGATCCTAATAGGTTGGACTTGATGGACTAATGTCTTCAACCTCAAATACTATGTAACTATGTAACTATGTATAGATTTCTGGAACACTATCTTCTGCTCAGGTTCATACAGAAATTCAAAAGCATGTCTAGACACCCACTGCCAAGTCCCTCCATCCCCTGAGAGGCATTAAATCAAGGCACTGCTGTCTGGTTTGGTTTGGAAGTTAACAGATTTAGATAGTTCTGGTCTACAGATGTCAATAGGTTGAACACTGCACAGTGATTAATAGCAGACACTAAAGCCAACCAGCTGATTAAAAACTGTAGACATGGAGTGTTTAATTATGTGAACACTGGCCAAACTTCCTTTTACTTCCTGATTCTGGGTATTACCCAGAGTGATAATATGAATACTGAAATACAGTATATTTTGATTAACCAAATTTTGAATGATTGCTAGTAAACAGGTAGCACAGCCTGCATATGTAGTCAGTAAATGTGGTTGTTCCAGTATACATATATAGATGAGGATTTCACATGTGTAAATTAATGTTTAATAAGTTTATAGATGTCCTTTATTTAAAAAAAAAAAGTGTCTTTATAAATATAACTCAGAACACAATCTGCCATCTTCTGTCCAATTACTACTATTGTTTACTACTGAACATTCTATTTCAAAGCACAATTACTAGATGCTACTTGTTATAAAACAGAAATATCTGCATAATTGCCTACATTAATTTTGTGTTTCCTTTAGATTTTCCAAGCAGTTCAAAACGTGACTCGCCTATTATACAGTGTCCAGGTATGCTTGTTAATGGCTTTCTTATGTATATTAAGCATTTTTTTTTTGTTTCAATTAAAATTGTCACATGGAGCATCTTTGGGTAAATACTCTTCAGTCTGCTATGGTAGATGGTTCAAATAAATTGTTAGTTAGCTTGCAGAATTGATCTCCATGTACTGTGCTATTCTTTTTTTCTCAGTATAATAATTTTATCTCCTTTCATTGCCCGCTATTTGTTATTTTAGGCATGGTAATGCTTTTCATAGTATGAATTAATGTGAAGATGCTTGCTTTAAAGATGATTACTTTAAATGTTTTTTCATGCTCATTTTTGTTGTTGTTGCTGTAGTAAATATAGAGATTTGTAAATGAGTTACTATAAGGCAGGGGTTGCCAAACTACGGCCCAACACCTGTGGTGAAAAGTTTGGCTACCCTTGCTATAGGGGTCTCACTAGTTTAGTGCAATTACTTTCTGATCCTCTCTTAAAGCAGAAGTAAAGTGTACAAATTTTTAACATTGCTGGGAGGTAGGGAGATTTGGCCGAAGATACTTTAAAAAAATTATTCCTTTCTCCCCTAGCATTTTTTTCCCACATGTGCTGTGCATTGTGCACAATCAGCCCATTATTATTATACAGGATTTACACAGGATATACAGGATTTATATAGCGCCAACAGTTTGCGCAGCGCTTTACAATATAAGGAAGACATTACAATACAAGACAAGATGGTAAGGAGGGCCCTGCTCCTGAGGGCTTACAATCTAAAAGGGAGGGGCAAGTGATACATGAGGAGGTAACTGTGTGGGGATAAATTGTTTGAGAACGTGATGGTTGAGTGGTTAGTTTGAGGTGGGGTTGGCTTCCCTGAAGAGATGAGTCTTAAGGGATCACTTAAAGGCAGTAAGAGTGGGAGATAGTCAGACGGGTTGGGGTAAAGAGTTCCAGAGGATGAGAGAGGCTCTAGAGAAGTCCCGGAGGCGAGCATAGGAGGAGTTGACAAGGGGGCTGGAAAGCTGGAAAGCAGGAGGTCTTTGGAAGAGCGGAGGGATCTCTAAGATGTCATGAATGGGCCGGTGCTGGGGAGGATGGAACTCTTGTGTGCATGTGCAGGAGTTGCATCATCAGAGGCCACCCATTGTCCAAAGAGGACTTTCGAAAACCCAGAAGTGTCAGCGGCGGAAGATGGCAGCAGTGGAGGACAGCACTGAGGACCAAAGATTGAGCAGACAACGTTGGAGAAGGGCAAAGCCGGGAAAGAAAAAAAATCAAATTGTTTTACTTCCTCTTTAAAGCTTAACTGAACCCAACTGAACAATTTACCTGTTCACACAAATAGAAGCTGCATTAGTTTTCCTTTTTCAGGCAAAGAAAATGTTCAACAAGAACAAAATCTTGCCAGAAAAAACAGTGCCCTTGTCACATGGGATCTTACCAGAAAGCACAAACAATGATCTATTTTAAACTTCTAATCCCCCTACCCCTCATGTAATGAAGATAAACATAGGCAGACATGTTTGAAGTCCAGCCTGGGTGTCGGCTATGTGTTCCTCCATAGGTATAGTAAAGTAGTAAGTGTAGACTCCCTAAGAGATGAACTGTGTTATTCACAGAATTACCAGGTGAAAATAAATCCTGAAAATAAAAGCAATGCAGCCACCTAAAAAGAACTAGTAAGCTGCAGAATATATTACATTTTTGTTTTGGGGGTTTGATATGCTTTAGCAACAGTTGCAATAAGATATCAGGCACACAGGGACCTGCACTGTGATAGGGAGCAGTAAAAAGCAACCAGCCTGTAGCAAAGTAAAAAGAGTTTGTTTGAAAATCACATATAGAACAAAGATATAATATAAGATCATTTCTATCAATCTGATCTTTTCAATATCTAAGAACGGTGTTTCAGCCTCACATATATGAAGTAACTAATATTTATTATATTTGATGCGATTATGTATTTATGTTTATAAACCCTTTTATTTCTGTTGCAATATGTTAATTCCTCTTAATGTACAATTTCCCAGGCTGCTGTAACCATGCAGGATAGCCAGATAGAACTAACGAAGGTTCTACACCAGGACCACGAGCCTAGTGGTAGAGGCTATGCTCTCCGTGGGTCCCTCCTACAGGAACAGTATCGCCATCTAGAAAAACATCGCGGGGAGGTGGCAAAACTTCAGCATCAATTTCAACAGGAACAGCAGCGCTGGGCCAGAGAGTGTGACCAAAAAGAGAAGGAACTGGAGGAGAAGGAGAACATGATACAGCAGTGGGAGAGAGATTGGCAGAACCAGGTGCAGCTTCTGGAGGAAAAGAGAGAAGAGCTTTCCGAGCAGCTTGTGGAGTTCCAGCACAATGTGGAGAGGCTGCAGGAAGGCCAGAGGATGGTGGAGAAAGAAAGGGAAGAACTCTGTGTACAGCACAAGCTCCTCAGACAATGGAAGCATGTTCGCCAGAACAGCCTGCCCATTTTATTTCCGCATCAAAAGACAGAGGTATTGATTAGAGAAGAGAGATTAGCATAGATTGTTATAACATTGCTGAATGTTAAGACATGTCCATTAATGTCTGGATTAACTACAGTAGCTGTTCTCAAACAAGCAGTTCTGCAGTTCAACAGTTCCTCCAGAGGTTGCTTGCGGGTTCCTTGAGCTATGACTGATTGCCCCTCTATTTGATGGTTCCTGCAAAGTTCTGGGGCCAGTTGCACTTGGAAGAGAAAGTAGTATTACACTGATGTCCTTTTTAGCTGTCTGTAAGGGTGGCATCGTCACCATCACTGTAAGGGGTGGGGGAGGCATTCTTCCCACTGATGAATGTTAGCAGGGGTTCCCTTAGACAAGGCATTTTTTTTTCTTTTGGCTGAACTTGATAGACATGTGTTTCATTGCAACTTATGTAGCTTAGATTTTAGTCATCCCTGTTCCCCATTCAATCAGTTTGGATTTCCAGTCTGAGTCACATGACTGTGCTGGATCTTCTGCCTGGGTCCTAGTGATGCCCCATGGATTTCTGTGGGTTTAACTAAGTGCAGGCAGTGCTGCAAGGTGATGGCACCCAGGTGGCTTGGTGGCATTGCTGGTGGAAAAAGACAGAGGTTAATTTCCTCATTATACTCTGGTCTGCCTTCTCCCCTGAGGTCTGTGTGGGCTTCTCTTTGAAATGTAATGTGTTTTCTTTTTGAGATGATGATTAGAGTAGCAGTAGATAATATAATCAAATGCTGCAATCAGAAGGATAAATCAAAAATTGTCTGAGTGTCTCCAGTAGTTTTTGTGAAATTATGAAACCCCTGCTACAGTTATTGTTCTGGTGATTTACACCAAGACTTAAGGCATGTTAAAGTTCACAGAACAAGTCAAGGGTAACCTCTATGAATTCCTTCACTGTTCCCATCCTGTCTCATACTACCTTTACTTGTCACAGTGTTGGATATACCATTTATGTAAATGAAGACAGTTCATTGTTGATGCTCAAACTGCAGGAGCAAACAGAGCAGATAAGCAAGGGATGTTGTACTGTCACCCTTGGGCTCTGAGCTAATGTTTGATTTTGTGTACATGATTGCTTGTTATTCGGAAATTGGTTATACCCATATGCAAGCAGGTTCTTATTTAAAAACGTATTATGTTTGAAGTCTACACAATGCATTTGTCACCAGAACCAATGGAACAGAGGACTTCTATTCATAGGCTTTGTTTGCATCTTACATCTGCTTTTATGTGTCTCAGATATCCTTTAACTAATGTGTGCTTCTCATGAAACGGCTGGCTGTTGGGGGAATGTGTGCGCCTATTAAAAAAAATAATGACACAAGTTGTATGCTGTAAGCAGCTTCCATTTTATCCACCTGTAAAATTCATCTTCTACCCATTTGTTTGAAGGTGTCTTGTGAGAAGTCTGACAATATAAATACCTCCTATAATTTAGAAATGGCACCGTGGTTATTTACTGTCATTTAATTTTATGGCCGGCTCATTAAACAGAGAAATATACCACAGCCAGGCCTGTGTGAAGCTCTTCACAGAACTTTAGAGAATGGTATTGTTTTACATTAACAAATCTCAGGGAAAGTAGGAATTGCAGAAGTTTAATAAAGCGAGGACAGAGGTTATAAGAAAATGTGTCAGAAAAAAGTCAAGACGTGTTAAGTCTTTCTCTGGTTCTTGTAAACTACACAGCTGAGCTGACTCTCGCTTTCCTCTTCATGTTATAGGGTGTAAGAAACCCCCAGCTTGACAGTTTTCAAATGGAAGACTCCGTCTGCCTTAACAACGCACTGGCTCAGATATCGCTCAACAACATGGCCGCACATCCAAACTCTGCTTACTCTGACGAATACACGGATCACGCCTCTGAATCTGCAGAGACTTCTGGAAACAGCCCTGTGGATATTTCCAGTGAACCTTGGAGCTCCTTAATTTCCCGACAGCAGAGGCTTGAGAATTTTTCACGACACAGCAATAAAGATGCCTGCAATAACGGTAAATAAAAAATAGTGTGCAATAAAGACTATATCCTGCCAATAAGGCCCAGTTTCACTGGCGCTGCATGTGTCAATTCCCCTTTAAAGAGATATCCAGGTAGATAGATGACTGTCCAGTAATTCTTTGGTTTAGGAAACATTCACGCCTACTATGTTTTCTTAGCGTACTGTTCTATAGTATTGATTTTGGCACTATTTACATCCTTTTTTTTTTTTTAAATGGGAGAGGGCATTCATGACACAGCCCATTGTAGCAAATGCCCTTAAAGAGAACCACTCATAAACAGGCATTTGTAAAAAAAAATTGGATATTTATACTTGAAGACCCTGTGAGGAAGGTAATATTATCCTAAAAGCTTTCTCTGCTAGTAAATTCTTTTCTCGCCCACTGTCCACACCACTGAACTGGACTCCTTTGAACAGAAGTCTTCCTCTGAAGTCTGCAAAGATAGCAATAATTCTGAGATTATGGAGTTCCTTTTCTGCTGTGGTTCCTATACCCGACCTCCATGTCACTGCCGGACACAGTAGTGATCGGTGGAAGGAACGACTGCACACAGGAAGCGTGTCCTGGGAAATGTCAGTTCCTCAGCAGACTTCAGGGAATAATTAGCAGCTGGAGAGGTGAACATTTACCCTCTTCTTTTGCAGGGACGGCTTTTTTTAATTTTTGTTTTCGGACTTTTTGCTTTAAGTTGTTCTACTCGTGCTGCCTTACTGTTCAGAATTAGATCTGTGTGCTGTTATTCACTTGTTTTCTTTTCCAGTCAGAAAAGAAGCCAAAAGAAGACAGGTCAGCCAAGTGTTAGGCTGTAAGCCAACCATAGAAGCTGACCTGACCTGTCTTCTGTCTGAGATGCTGATAATTTACACTCTCTCTGGGCTTCTGGAGCAGGAAAAACTGTCAGTTACCAAAGTATTTTATTTTACAAAATCCTAATAGGACCATAGTTATACAGCAGTTTTTTGAATATTGGTTTTCATCATAGACAGATGAAATGAGTCTTACACTTTGGGCGCATGTATATTGTTGTATTATCCTGCCTTTGGGGTGCTTCAAAAGCATTGCAAATCAAAGAAAAGCAATGCTTTGTTAAAAAAAATTAATTGCAGGAACACACCCCAAACGCACTTTGCCATGTTAGTAAAGAAGATGTGCGTTCACATGACGCATATGTTCAGAGATGATGTGTTCTTCACTGTGTTGGCAATTAAAGCCCATCAGCGTGTGCTGTAAGGCTTACACTGACCAAAAGAATACAAGGAAAATATAGAGAGTCCCTGAGAGGTAACACTGCAGTTTAATAACAGTTCAACAGTGAAAATTCAGACTATTATAAATGCCCATTTGGTGAATATTTCTTTTTATTCAGAGCTCCCCTTTTCACTGTGGTATATTTTTGCTGCACAAATATAGCCCCTCATATGAGATTTTGGATATTACTCACTGAAAGTTATAAAAAGAGCCATGATTATTCACTTTGGGCTCATGTAGGTAACACGGTTTCACAAACGTGATCCAAGCTTTAATAATCATTATGCTGGAACTTCTTTGTTCACCTGTGTTGTGTACACTTTAAAGTAAAAATAATTGAGCTATTGCTACTGATAGGGATCCTTGTAGATAGTCATTTGGGTATTTCCCTGCCATGCCAGTAAGGTAACCAGAGCAAAAAATGGTCATATAGAAGTGAAGTTTTCCTTTCCCCCATATTGCAGCCAGATGAGCTGACTGCCATCTCATGTCATGTGGTCGTATGTTTGAATGTCCCACACCTCAGCCTGGCCCTGTGGCTGTCCCAATGGTGAAGGGTGCCATTTGCTTTGCAGCCAAAATAAATTCCATCCTACATTAAGTTTATGGGCTTATACACTGCCTGGCCCAAAAAAATGCACCACCTTGATTTTGGGCAATGCTAGGGTCTTGGGTTGCTACAGTTGGTCAGGTCTAGGTTTAGCAATGTTCTGTCCCCAAAAAATGGGCTCAGCTGCTTACCTGAATATACTGAATCTACAGGTTTTTCGATCAATGGATTTTTTCTTCCCTGGTGACAATGCCAGGATTCATGGGGCTCAAATTGTGAAGAGTGGTTTAGGGAGCATGAGACATCATTTTTACACAGGCATTGGCCATCACAGACCTTAACCCTATTGAGAGTCTTTGGCATGTGCTGGAGAAGACTTTACACAGTGGTCTGAATCTCCCATCATCACTACAAGATCTTGGTGAAAAATGAATGCAGCTCTGGATGGAAATAAATGTTGTGACATTGCATAAGCTTATGGAAACAATGCCACAGCGAATGCATGCCGTAATTAAAGCTAAAGGTGGTACAGAGAAATATTAGAGCGTGCCTTTTTTTTGGCCAGGTAGTGTATCAGTGCAGCAAACTGAACATTTCACTCAGTGCTTAGATCTATTGCTCATGAGCTAAATAATTGTTTGCTACCCTGGCATCAGGAAGGGCAAAAACTGAATGGCCTGCCTGTACAGGGACAAACACCTAAGATATTTTGGGCATATAGCCCAGAAAACGAGGGTATATATTAAATGTGATTGGTACGAATTCCACTGAAACATTTTATCACTGAGCAATTATTTAGCGATTTAACATTTCCACATTTGGTTCATATTTTCTAATATGGAATAATGATAGATTCAAGTTGCAATGTTGACTAATGATGTTGTATATTGTGAGCTACATGTTTGATTTAAGACCTATTAATCTACACTGAAATTTAGTCCAGTCATTAAATCATGCTTTTGAGTATTGCATTCCGACATTTAAACCCACACAATTATAAATTTTGATGTTTGGCTTTTTTTCTTATTAATTTTAATTTATGTTCTTCATAATGTATTAAGATATCAGGTTACAGTCTCTAAGTCATTAATGTACCATATGACTTGTGTTTCAGACTTGAACGCAGCCCACGTCATCTACTGTGGAACATTATTGGCTTCAGGATCACAGAACCTAAACACAGGGGCCCCACAATTACCGCAGCCTTCAGATCCCATGAAAATACTCCACAATGACTCTCCAAACAGTATAGAAAATGGACGGATAGAAGAGAACATCATTTACCTCTGATCCATGTTACATTCATTCCAGAATTTCTGCTCGGAACTTGCAAAACTGTGTTTGAGATCACAAACGCTGTAAATATTATTCCCTCTATATATATATATATAAATATAGGTTCATAGGATTTGCCATTGATTGGCCATATTCTAAAACATTGCACATGGATGCAAATATCCATTTTTGTGATATCTGCTGTCATTATGGTCAGTGACTGTAATCGTCCAGTGTGAGAAAATATCTGGTATATAATATTTCAAAAGGATTTTCATGCATTAAGAAATGACTGAAGAAAAAAACTCTATAGCAGAAAAGATGTGCTCACTCCACAGTCTTATAGCAAGTATTGGATGATCACATGACTTCTGGCACTGGAGAACTACCTATAAGTACCCTTTCATTAATAAAGGGTGTTTTTTTTCTTGTGGAAAACAGCTAAGTTATTGTTTTTATATGTATGCAGTTATCATTGACGGCTTTAGCACCTTTCAGAATAGTGAATGCAATTCTATAAATACAAAAAGGCGAACATATGAAGTGTCTGTTGCTATTCAGTACATCAAGAAAGTCGCCTTGACAAAAATTTATTTAGAAATCTGGCTTACAAGATGTTATATGTGTTTACTTTGTCTCTGTAATTGTAGCCTTTTCCTTTCACGGGAGACAATGTGGTCTGAAGGTTTAGAAAGTGCATAGATTGCCGTTAATGTGACACTAAACTCATGAGGTAAATCTTAAAAATGTATTCAAGTACCTTTAAAGAAGACCTTTACCCCCTTTCGCTAAAAATCACCTCAGCATGCAGCTTCCTGCTGATAGGAAATAATTTTACGTTCATTAGTTAAATCAACATATTTTCTTTTACTTACAATTATTGTTTTTCCACTTCCTGGTCCTCTTGGGCATTCGTGATGTAATGTGCCCAAGCGTGGCATCCTGGAAAGATTACACCAGCAAAGCATTGCTGGAAAATCTCATCAGTAATCTCATTAGATCTCAGGGAAAGGCATTTGAGTTGATGTGCATGGTCACATGTCCTAGTCACATGTGCCAAAGTGCTAGGAAGTAAAGGGAGATGTATTAATCTACCCTTAGTAAAAATGGCCACTGTGAGAAGAATGAGGAGGAAAAGAAAACTAAGGTATGAAGAGAAAAAAAAAGCCGGCAATTATCTATAAGTATCTGTTTGTATATTTCCATTACTAAACATTTCTCAAAGGTGTATTTGTTGTCATTTCAAAGATAAGGGTAAAGTTCCTCTTTAGCTATTAACAAAAATGTATCTTATTTGTGTATCACTCGGCTGTAGATCCTCAAATCATCTCTGAATTGGTGCTGACACTGTCCTTCCTTCTGGAGGGGGGCTACTTTTGTTCCCCATGGTCCCTGTGTGTGATGTAAAGTAGCCACCGCTCCAAACTCGCTCTCGTCACGGATCTGCACAAATTAGTATACTAAACGCGAGATTGTAGTCCATCACGTGAGCAAGCTTGGAGGATTATGCAGGACCTCTTATAAGTGCGGCAGATTCCTCTATCACCCATGAAGTCACCTGTCCCAGTATTTACATTTTTCCTTCAAGTTGGTTTGCAGGCGGCTCAACAGTGTAATGTGTTTTTTTTTTGTGTCTAGCAGCACAAACAGCTCACTGATCATTAGGTTATCTAGCACAGGTTAGCAGTACATCAGTATTGTTGGTCAAAGTGCAGCTTTTATACTGAAGAATAGAGGTGGATTGATTCAAAGCTGTGTATAACAACTAATGGGGCCCTGTTATGTAATTAGCCTTATATCACCTTACAGCTTAAGTAGCATAAATGTAATTGCATACATGTGCTTTTCCACTAAATATGACCCTTTTGAATGTCCTTGTTTTTTCCCCTCTGTGTCAGTTGTATTAAAAAATAGTAAGGCCTGTGTGAATGGCTGACAGAAACCTAGAGAAGCTGTGTATAACAACTAATGGGTCCCTGTTATGTAATTAACCTTATATCACCTTACAGCTTAGTTTGCTTATTTGCAAACAAGCTGGTACTTCCCTTTAAAATGGCGTACTTTCAAGCCAGAGATAAAACAGGTACTCTTTGTGGCACATACTGTACATCCAGTTGTGAGATATAGCAGTGTCAGTGTACAGTCACTATACTGTCAAATTAGTGCTGGCTAGACCCAACCTAATCTATGACTTTATTTATGTTGCAGTACTCCTTCACTTTTAAAAATGACTGAGACAAGTATATTGCAGGGAACACATAATGTTATTAAATAGACTGATCCTCATATGCTATGAATTGTTTAATACTTTCTTGACAAATTCCCCCTTACGGTGGCTTCTTGTTCTGCACAGAAGACTTTGTGAACCTGTATCACAAACCAGAAAAAGACATTAAATTGTACACAGGCAATTTTAAATAACATTAAACCGGAACTTGACTCACCTTCCCTCACTTCTTCACTGACATCTTCAGGGTGCTGGGCTGTCTTGATTGGCAGAAGGGGAAAAATGAACTCCCATGTATGCGCACAGGAGTTAGGAGTGCCAAGAATGTGAACTGAACTGAGCTGTGCGGGTACAGCCCAGTGTACATTCTAAAGAAGGTTGTGAACAGGTGGGTATGTTTGTTTTATTGCAGCATCGCTTGTCTCTTCTCCAATAAAGTGCCTGCTTTCTCACTATTTTCTTATATTTAAGCTTAGTTCCACTTAAAAAACTTAAAAAAAAAGTAACATTAAAGGCTGGGCCTTTTTTTACCTTAATTCATTCTGTGCATTAAGGTGAAAACTGCCCTGGGAGGATACTGATGGCAGAGGAGCCAAAAGCTCCTTCTGCCATCAAACTGTTGGGCGGAGAGGAGGGGCGTGACCTGCCGCAGGGCTGTGCGTCTATGGGCGCACACAGCTACTGTGGGCACGAGCAGGCATGGGTGCCTCTATAGCAGCTGCTTAGCTGACTTAGCTGATGGCGGCACCCAGGCAGGGGGATGAGCGCTGCGGGGACCCACTGGAAAACAAAGAACCAAACGTTTTTACGGAAGAACAAAAGAAGATTTTAGCAAAGGTGGACCTCCAAGGTAGAAACATGAAAAAATTTAAACTTTAATATCACTTCAAATCTTAAAAATGCATTCAGGTACCTTTACTAATAAAACTGTAACATATTTGTGTATCGCTCAGCTGTAGATCCTCAAATCATCTCTGAATTGGGGCTGACACTGTCCTTCCTTCTCGAGGGTTTCTCCTTTTGTTCCCCATGGTACCTGCGTGTGTGTTGTAAAGTAGGCACCGCTCCAAGCTCACTCCTGCGATGGACTACATTCTCACTTTTAGTTTACTAATTTGTATTGAGCTTGTAGTCAGTCACAGGAGCAAACTTGGAGTGGTGGCTACTTCACATCACACACAGGAACATGGGGAACAAAAGTAGTCATCCTCCAGAAGAAAGGAGAGTGTCAGCACTAATTTAGAGATGATTTGAGGATCTAAATAAGGTACAGTATTGTTAAGGTACTTGAATGCATTTTTAAGGTTTAACTCCAGAGTTTAGTGTCAATTTAAATTTCATAAACACATTATCTGCACTTAAAGAAAACCTATGCTTTGCTCATTCATGACCATGTCCCTTCTCTAGCAGCACATGCTCACCTTTCCTTCACTTCCTCACAACTCCATTCAGCCAACAGGAGCAAGAAAAGAAAGACGTGAAAACTGCAAATCTACCACCAATAGCAGCACTGGGCCAATCATTGAGCACCAGTGCTGTTGCATGAGAAGAAGGGAAGTCACATGCTCTTCCGAACCTAAAGCTCTGGATCATGCATCTGGGGAAGAGAATAAAAAAGACATGGACATGGACAAAACACAAGTTCACTTTTCGATGGAACTAGCCATTTCATGCACAGAACAGTTTTTGGTCCCGTTCTTCACCTCTCCGTGTTGATTCTAACCATAACAATGTCAGCTGTTCCCAATGCTCTTCAACATGGCTTTACTTAACAAAACACCTCCCACCAAATGGAAAAAGGGAATTGCTACTCTGGTTTATCCAAAAAAAACATTTGTTTTCTCTTAGCAATCATTTAGATATTCCCTTTCTTCCACACTGCATTAGTAGAATGTGATTGGTTGCTGTGGCAAAACAAGAGTATTCAGTTTGATAGATGTGCCTGTCTGTGAGCTGTAAAGGCTGCTGTTTTGTAATTGCAGTTAAGAACGAATAACAGCACTCTGTGTGACTGTTCCAGTAAAGATGTCAGGCACACACGTGCTCGGTATCATGACGGAGATTAGTTTCTTGTGAACACCTGGCTTTCATACAATCAAAACCATTCAGCTCGTTCTAAACGCAGAAGCTCGGTGAACACTGTCCAGCAGTCACCTGTCAACCATGGCTGCAGCAGATCAGGAATATTACATGCAAACTGACAAATCAGAGTGCATACAGACCTGAAAATATGCGAGATAAATGGACTGAAAAGCCTCTTTCATGCCTTAATCTGCCTGGCACAGCATGAAGCCAGTTATTTTTAGGTGCACTATAGACTGTGGCTATGGTATCTGGCTGATGTATTCCATGCCGCATCAACGTTTCTTATAAACCTAACATTGTACTCGGGTCACATGGCTGGTTTATGTGTTTCCTTTATTTTGATAGATGGTCTTTGTGGGTTTACTATTTCTAGAAAGATGCAGCTTTGGTTTCTACGTATACAAATTTCAGTTGCCCAGTTGCATCAACATAACATTAAGGTCAACTTTATATTGGGATAGCTACACATCTATTATGTTTCTGAATGCTGCCTCTAAGGGCTAGTTCAACCACAATCGGTGTCGCAACGCATTGGATCGCATCTTGGCCGGCTCCGCGCGTTCAGGGGTTTGAGGGGGCGATCTATCAGAAATACAGTGGTGTCCTTGTCAACACAATTGCATGTAGCACACCTTTTAGCCCCCAGTCCTGCCTTTTCCTCTTCCAGTCTGAGTGTTTATGCTTATTGCATTAAAAATGATTATTGAATACAGAACTGCAATGGTTTGTGCCTTTTATATTTGTCTGGAGCTCAGCTTTAAAGAAACCCTGTCACCAGTACATTTAAAGAAAGTATTTCCATAAGATTATATGTGTATTTAACATATTTTAGGAATGTTATTTTACTGTAAAAGCCTACCTTGTAGGCTATACATTTATACATGTGACTGCTGCTTGGTGCCACCATCTCTGATGTGATGTCAGCAGCCTCCGCAGACTCAGAGCTGTCAATCAAGTATTCCTCTCACTCTTCTCCTGGCAGCCATTCAAGTTATGTAGGGAGGTG